TAAGTTCACAAGTGTATATTTTCCATCTGCACCAATTCCCTACAAGGCCAGATTGGGAGGGGATTAGTTATTGTGTATGCTCCTCTTATTTAACTCCGCATGTTGTATTCTTTCATCATATATTGTTCCCTTGTAGGGTGTCGAACTTGAGTTGGTGAAACTTGAAGGGATAGTGCAAGCCATTCATGAAAATTTAGAGTACCTGAAGGATAGGTAAGTACATACTAACCTTTACAAATGTGCTCCACATCCCGGATAATATGTGTTTGCTGTTTGTTTTCATTTCTATTGCAAATACTTTGACTTTTTGGTATTATACATTTTCCTCTTGTTTTATGGTCCTTTCGTGAGTATGTGCCAATGTTGGTTTCTAACGCCTCTAAGTCTTATTTCATTTTTACAAATTTATGAGTTATATTTCCCACTAGGAGTCTGCTTCTGCATATTTATAGCGATAAGAAGCAGATTTTTTTCCTGCAGTATCCAAAAGACAACGGAGGAAATTTATCGTGGAGAAAGGAATGTAGGATAGTAGATAACTTATAATTATATACTCAAATTTGTAATTCTCTGATACTGTCCTTAATTGGAGAGAGCTAAAAGTAATGGCAAATAGTTTCAAAAATGTCAAGGGTAATAGACATTGGTTTTTGTAGTGAACATAGTTGCTGCTGTGCTTATTGAATCCTATGAAGACTCTTAACAGTGTATTGCATTGTAAATCACCAGTTTCACGAAGAAATGACGAAAACGTTCTTGCAGAACCTTGGTGTAACCGATACTTTTATCCTTCTTTTGTCTCCTACCTCACAATTAACATGGTTTATTCTTGTATCTCGTTCACAGGGAAGCACAAATGAGGGAAGAAAACGAGAAAACCAATTCTAGAGTGGCATGGTTAAGTATAATGTCCCTTGGTATATGCATAGCAGCTGCAGTTCTGCAAGTATTTTATCTGAAGAACTTCTTTCGCAAGAAAAAGCTCATTTAGATTCGACAAATTTTTCACGTTCTTGCATCACACGATCTACAGTAGCTTACAGAATAGATCAATTACAACATTTTTTTTCACTTGTATTCATATTTCTGTTTCTGCAATAGACTGTTGTGATCTACAGTGAACGAAAAGGCCGGATACCAGAAACTACTAGTGCCCTATGTTCAGGGGACAAATGCAATCCAAATGTACCATCGTTCTTCTACTTTTAGTTGAGAAAATCTATGTATAATCTCATTACAGTTTTATAACTTGTCCTTACGATTCACAGTTTGAATTTGAACTGTGAATTGAATTCACGGATCGAAAAATCAAAATTCAAGCTTTTTATTATTTGCTGAAATTGTTGGCGGAAGTTTTTCCTCTACATATGCTTATAAGCAATTGCTTCTACGAGTTTTGAATTTCTTACATAACGAATTTCTACTACTTCATGACAATAACATCTTCGCGCCTTTGAGCATGTCTTGTTCAAATACAGATATGAATGTGTATTGCATAATCAAAGATTGTTTACTTTCTTAAGATATGAATGTGTACAATTAGCAAAATTATTAAATACACACGATAACTATTCAATGTAATTTCATAAAATGGAATCTAAAAAGGATAGAATGTATATAGACCTTACCTCTACGGCTCTACCTTAGAGGTAGATTATTGTTTCAGAAAATGAAGTAATAAAAGTACAAGAAATAGAATATGGGAAGAAGACAATAGATAGTCACAGGATAGTAACCACAATGAAGTCATACGACAGTCCAAAAGACAATAGATAGTCACAGGATAGTAACCACAATGAAGTCATACGACAGTCCAAAGGACAATAGATAGTCACAGGATAGTAACTACAATGAAGTCATATGACAGTCCAAAGTACAAGACAACAAATAATAACATAAATTGAAGGACCTAAAACTATAGGAGCAATATTGCAACTACTAGTAAGGACGAATGACAAGACAACACACTACTCTCTGCTAACCTTCTACCCAAATTCGTGTCCTCCACAACCTCCTATCCAGGGTCATGTCTTCGGTAAGCTAGAATTGTATCATATCCTCTCTAATCACCTCTCCCCATTACTAATTTGGTCTACTTCTATCTATCTTGAAATCGTCCATAGCCAGCCTCTCACGCCTCTACAACGGGGCATCCGTATTTCTCCTCTTCACATCCCAAATCATATTTGTCTCGTTTCCCAAATCTTGTCCTCCACTAAACCCACTCTCACCTTGTCCTAGATATCCTCATTTTTTATCATATCTCTCTTACTAAGTCCACATATCCATTGCAACATCCTTATTTTTGCAATTTTTAACTTCTGAATGTGAGAGTTCTTGACTAGCCAACACTTTGCCCGTACAACATAGGTGGTCTGGCTACCACTTTGTGGAACTTGCCTTCAAGTTTTGGTGGCACCTTCTTATCACACAAGACAGTGAAGGCAAGCCTCCATTTGATCTACCCCACACCAATATGGTTGGTGGCATCCTTGTCAATCTTCCCATTCCTTGAATAATAGACCCAAGATACTTGAAACTTCCTCTCGTTTAGATAATCTATGTATCGAGCCTCACTTCTATATCTTCCACATACATTAAATATAATTTTATAAAAATATAGTAATTAAACATTACATTAACAATTTAAGCTCTAAAACCTCCACTTCCAACATGCACAAGAATGAGGTTCGAGTTGTTCAAGTTGATGAACAAGAGAAGGTAATAATGCATCTCCAAAATATATTTGATTGAAAAACTGTATCAAACGAGTGTATCATTGGAGGCATCTCAACTCACTCCCTTCTCCCTTTCTTCCTCATCTCTCCTTCTTATATGATTGTGTTCCCACAGATCCGCCAAAAATTCAAAATAAAATAAAACACTCAAGTATTTCATCACAATTTGGCATGAAATAAGAAAATAAATAGTAAAAATAAAAGAAGCAAAAGAATCACTATTTGTCATGATTATTATCCATGGTATTACTTAACGGGTCGTTTGGTAGAGTGTATAAGAACAATGCAAAATAGAGTGTATTAGTGATGCATGCATTAGTAGTGCTTGCATTAGTTATGTCTGCATTATTTCTTATACACTGTTTGGTTTGATGTATTAGAAATAACAAATTTTGCATAATTTCTATTAAAAATTGTATGATTACAAAAATACCCTTCACACTTTATTTCTTTGTACACTTCCTTTGCAACAAGGTTCTTTGCTGAAACAAAACATCATCAACTCCTCTTCTTTTTTTTCAAGTTTAAAATTAAATAGTTGTTACTATTGCATCAAAATATTTGTGGAAAGTTGGCCAAGAAATTTTTTATCAAACTAATCGTCACAACAGTAAATATTTTGATTAAACTATATTGAAATAAGATTTTTTAAAAAAAGGAAGAAGATGTCAAACTTCTTCACATTTTTGCCACCAGATTCCCCAAACTAAAGTTTACCAGCAACATACTTTGAAGCAATATTTCATATTAACTTATGTGTTTAACCTTCATTTTTTTCTTATTACTAAAATCAAGCCACATGATCTTTATATTAAAAAATAAAGATGTACTAAAGAGGCCATATATAAAGCCTATTATACATTGATTAAACTTTTTGAGTAGCTAAAAGATTATACGCCGTCAAATAAAGGAGAAAACGAAGGCTCAAAAATGATACGTTGTCAATGTAGGAAGTTAATGAACAAAAGAATCGAGGGTGTAGGTCAATCACATATTGATAATAAGACAAGGATGTATTGCAAGTAGATAAACCTGTTGCAAGTAATTATATATACTTTTCATTTGACCAGCTAGTTAACACGAGGCATTTCTAGCGCTTGGTATCCATATTTCCTGCTGAACCTCTTTATGGAAAATGAAAAGTTTCTTAAACACAGTACCATAGAAAATGTTTTTTATAAAAGGCTTTTGAGGGTGGTTTTGTAATTATATAATCTAATGCAAGTGTTAAAATGCTATGTATTACTAATACCTAGAATTTCTTGGTATTAGTAATACACAACTTAATACACAATAAAGTGTATAACTAAAGCAAGCATTAGTTATACATGACATGAAAAAGTGTATCAAACAATGTATTACTAATACACACACCTAATGCATGCATTATTTTTCCTAATACACTCAAAGTATTTATTCATGGATTTTTTTTAATCTTCAATGGCAGTGTTAACTCACAAGAAAAAATGTCTCTTCACTATCACTAAAAGAAATCAACGCTAGGTCTGAATGCTTTTAAGTCTTCATCATAGATCTGAACTTTATTATTAAAAACCCAATTCAGTGACAGAATCCCAAAATAAAACAAATACATTATAAGTTGAAATGTTAACGATGCAAATTTAGACCTTTAAGTGCAAACAAATATAGCCTAACACATCTAAATTGTTTCTAGTTACACCAAAAACAAGTCTGCTAAACACTTGGTCTTCAACATATGACTAGGCTCAATTGGACCATGAAACATTTTCCCTATCCTATATCCCCCACAATTCATGCAGAAACTGTAAACCAAATCTTGCAGAAGTCTTTTGTGTCTTTCAGACCAGCAACCTAAGGTAATCTTATGGGAAATTAACCAAAGATTGTGCATATTCACCAAATTAGTTATGTGCAAACACCAGCAAAGGCTAAGTTTTTAGTAAATGGCTCCAAAGTTGAAGGAAGATTTGGAAACACCGTCCTTTTATAACTCATGCTTCAGAGTTTTTATTGGATATCTACTAAATCAGCCCACCTGTTTCCCTGCACTTGTCAGGACAAAATATGAAGCCCATCTAGTACAATATTGCTTCTGTCAAATTGGATTTTAACAAGAGTCTTTGTCTATCACCTTGTGCCAAGAATGGAGCTAAAATGGTAAGCTTCATTAGCGGTAAAATGTATAAATATCTAGTTTTACTCATTGGTATATTCATAGTCGGTATCCTATGGCATATTACACAGTCAAACTGTATATGTCCACCATAGTCTCAAGGTTTGGTGGTGGTACAGTTGCAAGATACACAGTAAAAGGGAGAGGAAGAAGAAGACAGTCCTCCATATTATCTATCACTCTTACAACATGAGCGAAAATGGGAGAGGAAGAAGAAGAGAGTTCTCCATATTATCTATCACTCTTACAACATGAGCGAAGACTGGCTTCAAAATTGTTATTGAGAGAAAGCTCATTCAGTCAATGCAGCTGCAATCTTCTTGTGGATAGCCTCAACACCTAGACGAGGAGATAATCTAGGAAGTACCTCCTGCGCAATACATTCAGTGATGAGAATTCATATCTCAACATTTTGTAATTTTCCATAAACATGTTATATAAATGAAAGAATAACTGCATGAAAAAAAGGTTCACACGGTAGAGGATATATTGCCTATGGCAGCTTCAACTCTTTATGGAGCACTTAGCGTGTGTAGTGATAAGTTAAGTTGTTAATGACAAGTTAATTGTTAACTAAGGCACTGGGATAACTAAGCTTCCGAAATATGCAACTGCTTGAGAATTTTGATTGGGGAAAGAGAGCATTCACCTTGCACCGTATTGTAATCACTCAAAAAGTACCTCATAGCACTGAATAAGGATAGTTTTTTTCCTTATCTTATAGGGGTCGTTTGGTACGCGGGATGAGATAAGCAAGGATATCTCATTGGTTGGGATATCCCATGGGATTATTTTATCTCACCTTCTATATGGGATAGTAATTCTACCATTCTAGTACAAATGGAGGGATAAAATAACCCTGGGATTAGCTAATACCTCAAATCAAACATGGAATAAAGTTAATCCCAAATTTAACCCGAGATTATTATCCTTATCCCATGTACCAAGTGAACTCTTAAGGCTCGTTTTGTTGGGGATGAAGTTATCCCGAGATTAGTTATCCCACCCTCAATATGGGATAAAAATAACACTACAATCCCGGGATAAGTTATCCTACGATTTTATCCCAACCAAACATGAGATAAACTGATCGTAAAATTAGTTCCGGAATTAATATCCCTTATCCCTTGTACCAAATGAGCCCTTAAGGTGTAATGCACCAGAAGTTTTAAGACCACTACATATTTGTTTAGTCAACAGAGAAGACCACCATGACCAAAATGTTAAATTGATGCGACCTACTGTCTCAAAGAAACAGGTTCTTTGAGTAACTATGCATAAAGGTAAAGTGGGAAATAATAAATCAACAGAAGGATTTTTACGTGGAAAACTCCTTGCTCAAGGGAGGCAAAAATCACGATCTATCTCTCTACAGGATTTTCCTCAACTCTTCACTAGAACTCTAGCAATTTAAGGTTACAACTTCCCTCCTACCACTTACCTTGTACACCTTAGGAACTGTTTCCCTACCACTCCTGCTTCTACCCTCAACAATTCTCCCCAAGTGTTGGTCACTCTCCAACTCTTCAATGACTCTACCCAGTCAAAGAAGTTCTTTTACAATACAAAACAACACCTAGTACAGTCAACTAAGAATGTAATCCAGATCTTGTTTTGAAACCACAAGCATCTAACTATTACAACTCAAGAACAGTAAAGATATAACTTGATATGAACACTTCATAGGAACAGGTTCTCTCATTGTTGCAGTTGACTCTCTTTCCTCAAGTCTCTCTCGTGCAGACTTTGCTCTAACTCCATAATATTTCTTTGTGGATGGTCAGCTTTCTTCAGCATCTTCAATGGGCTTTATATACGAGTAGAATAGACACTTGTAGTCATCCCAATCCAACCAAGAATTTCAAAGAAATCAATCATTATTTGACATGGATTTGACTCAATGCATACAACCTCTCTTCTCTAAATCCTATGGTAATTTCATGTGTTCAATTATGGTAACTTTCCAATTCTTGAACTCCTGTTCCTTGCAGAATTGAGTTAAGACTAATTACAATTCTCCAAGCTTTCCTTTAGTGCATGTGGCATAGCTTCTTCTTGTCGACTCAAAACAGTCTCCATTCTCTGAGAGGAACAGGTCCTCTGAGCAGTTCTCCTGCAGTGTTGCCAACTTCACCGTTCCTTGGAGATCTATTATGGACCTGGTTCTTATACTTCTTTCTTCTTGTACATAGATTGTCACTTGTACAATATTTGTCAATCATCAAAACACCATATGATCTTGAATATAGATTCAGTAGTTCCTGGCAGCTCCACACAAAAGAGACGATAGAGAAACCAACATTATGTATACAGACTAAAGGAAGACATTTCCAGCAAGCAGATATAAGGTTCTCTGAATAGTCAATGGTCATTTTATATGACAATCAATGCACCAACTATGCCTCAACTCCAAACTAGCTAAGGTTTGCTATATGAAACCTCTATATCCATCCTGCTCAATTCTTGTACTATTCATTTTTAATACTAAATAATTTTTCTTTTAAGGCAAATTATGATTTTTGTAATAAACTAGAAATTCTCTTAAATTCACACTTATTTCTACACTGGCTTACAAGTATCTATAAAACTAAGATGACTTAAAACCACCAAATTTCATGTAGTGTAACAACAAAACAAAGCATTAACATCCACTAGTTGGCATTATTTGACATCCGTAAACAACTTTCTTTCAAGTGATTTAAGTTTACCTCGTCCTCTTCGAGATACTTGGATCATCACAACGCCAAATCTATTGACAGGTACATTAGTGAGAGAAAAACATAAGCATGATTGAACCATCTCAAGCAGCCTTATCAGACTTTATCCTCTATATGTGCTACTCTTAACATCTCCATTCCCATAATACTTGTTTACTCCGTAAAACATTGCTGATCTCAAAGCAGAGCAGTAGAAATACCTTTCACTTTGTTAGGTAATTTCCTATCACATGACAATTCTCATAAAACTCCATTTCAACCATCCAATCTTTAATTTTATGTCTTGCATCTTTATCTAAGATACCATTATCCCATAAGTTTGAGCCTAGATATCTAAAATTTTGCCTAGTGCGGATTACCTCTACTGTGTGGTTTGCGAGCTGCAAGGAGTGGGGGTTTTACCCTGTGTACACCCAAAGGGTAGCGGCTGCGAGTTTTCCTTGACATAAAATAAATCTTCCTTGAGATGGTAAGATGAATAACTCCAAATTCATGGATCTTGCCTAATCCTCTTCTTGAAAAGAAAAGGTGTATTAACTAATAGTATCAAAACTTCTCCATTTTCTGATTTCGAGGGAACTGCAGTCCATGAGTTACAATATTCAAAAGTTTAAATATAAAATTACTGAGTGCACAGGTGTACAAACTCTCAGTACACAGATATGGCTTATATTACAACTTATAAAGAGATGAAGAAAATGGAGTATAAAGATACTTGGGAAGTCTGCAACAAGTGGTACAATGTAGCACGCTTAAATGGGAATGTATTTTTCTTTATCGATAAAACTGCATGAAAATTTAGATCTCAATCAAAATACAAGCTACAAGATTTACAAGAGATGTGTTATCCAATTGGTTTCAATCTCCTACACTATTCAATGACTGTAAAACTATATTTACTTCTTCTATTTCAGATCTCTATCAATGATAGGAAGAACCAATTTCATGGCATCTGATGTTCTTCCATTATGACATCACTCCATTATCCTCTTCCCTTATGAAAGTAGGATTTAGAATTTCAAACTCATGTGTGACAGCAGAGGAGAAACAATGTTGGGCAGTTTATTTGCCCCTTTCCCTTTATATAATAATAAAGGGTGTTTTTAGTTAAGGAGATGGTAAGCTAGGATTCAAGAAACTACTTATATTCATGTTCTGGATATCGGAAGATCCACCACCCAATGGACTTCATGCCTCCCATACATACCTATCTCTCTGCCTTCTTATCATTCTTATTCAAGCAAGACTCAACATTTACTCACGAAATCGCAGCACTCTTTTGTTTGTCGAAAAAATCTTAGTCATCCCTAGTGAAGTTAACGCTCTTGAGAACCAATGCAACTCCATTGGAATAACATGTGACTGACGACTCAACCAATTCAAGTAGCTGTTGTTTGCTAGATAACCATTTAATAAAAATCTCTATATTATCTTGATTGTTTCCTGTTGGATAAACCAAATAATGATTTTTCTTTTTTTACTTTTTACTGGTTAGATGGAATAAATTGAAAAAATGTAATTTAAGAGCACACATGAAAGCCATTGGAGAGATTTTGGTGCTTCCATTGCTCAAGCCATCACTTTCCATGGGATGAGCTCTCCTAAAGCTCTTCCTATTTCTTTTCTAATTTCATACTAAACCATGAATACTTTAAGTAGCCACGTATGTTAATCCAACCTACTATTGACAAATACTGGATCAATTCATACGGGAGGTGATCCAGCACCACTACATGATGAAAGTTAACTCTACAATTATGATGAATTTGCCATGTATTACATGCAAGATAACTAATCCTGATAAGTAGTATTTTCCGTGGAAGTTTGATTGGTTTTAAGAGATAGAAAGAAGAGAAAGAAGGAGGGTGTTTCTCCAATCCTTTTCCTTCACCTTCTCCTAGCGCCATACTAATAAACTCTCAAGTTTTCTTGGTAAAAAACATTAAAATTAGTTCAATGCGTTGCACTATAAAAATTACAGTATCACAAGTAGCATACAACAACAAAATGCTAATCTAACCTCAGTGCCATCAGGACGCACTCTAGCCAACACAGGTATTTCATATTGGTAAGCCTTCTCCCAATCAGTATTGCTAGTTATATCTCTAATCTGTAAAAACCCATAAAATCAAACTTCAAAAAAGGCATAAAGTTCATACAGCAACGTTATCCTATTTCTTTCTTTTAATGGTTTGAGAAGTAGAACCTGTAATTGAACGTCGTGTAGAGAATGGGGACTGGAAAGAGAGAAAGCAGCATTGAGTTTTTCTTTGAGGCCATCACACAAACAGCAACCAGGCTTTGAATAGAGTATTAGCTTTCTTGATGTTGAAGAAGAATAAGAAGATGATGAAAAAGCCAAAGGGCTAAAGACCCATTTGCTCTTTTGGTAATTGAGGATTTTCACTCCTAGTGCTTGCTTTAATGGTGGCCTAACAGCACTAAATCCGATTGCAAGACCTGCTGCCATTGCTGCTTTGCTTCTTCTCAGTCCTCTTACCCCACCCAAAAAGGTTGTGAATTTCACGGCCTCTTTGCCTTTTGCACCCTAAATTTTTCTACTCTTTGCAATCAACACCCCAATTTTATGCAATTTGACATATAGCTTATGAGAGAAAATGTCATAAATAATTTCGATTTAAACTAACCCCTTAAATATATACTACTTATCGGTTATAGTCCTTTAATTATTTAAAAAAACTTATCAATTTTGTTCTTCTTCTATTTCTAGACAAACATTATTATTATTTTTAATGAAAATGCTCAAGAGGACACATATTTTTATAAAAGCCCACTGTCACAATTCAATTTATCGGATCGTGCATGTATCCACTCATTCTAATTTGATAGGCAACTTCTTACCATTCATTCCCCTTTTTATTAGAGAAATCTTGCAAATAATCATTTGTGATTAATAATCGATCAAATAAATACTAATTAATGAACAATAGAACTTGAATCATCTCTACTTTCAAAACATTTTCAACATCTTCTAGGACCTAATCCAGACATGTACAAAAATTGCTATGTAGAGTAACTCACAAGAAGTTTTTTTTTATATATCTATTTTTCATGTAGTTTAACTTATTTTTAGTAATAGACTTTGTACTTCATAAATTTTGATCTCTCCTATGTTCATATTCTAAATAAAATAAACCTCTGAAGAGATTAATATCATACATTTAGATAAAAACTTATTAGAAAAGATTGTAGACATGAAATTTATTGATAAATTCATATTAAATTTTGGATTAATCCATAAAAACATGATATATTGACCAAGTCAAATTACTGGTTAATAAAGTCGGATTAATATTTAAGTCAAAATATATGACTTAAATAAAGTCCAAATTACATTTGGGTCAATCCATTAAGGACTCTCTTTTCTCCAGAGTTTCATGAAGATTTTCACATAATTGGGTGGATTCTCTTTTCTCCTTATTCTCCATCATGTTTGTCAACTTGGTAATTTGAACGTCTTGACCTTTGATGTGCTTTGATAGACCTTCAACTGCTTTTGTCAAATTTACAAGTTGTTCTTCTATGGTAGAAGTTTCGATCACCATCATGTGCATTATCATCGTAGGTGATGAAGAATAACATTGATTTTTCCAAACATGAGATGCAAACATGTTATGTGGGGTAGATCCCGTGCTTAAAACATCATTATCGGCTGAAGCAAGGGACTTTTTGGATATAGCTAGGCTCAATTGGGCAAGAACCCTCTCGATCATTTCAGCGATTCTTCTTTTGCGGCTTTGCAGGAGACTTTACACCTTTTGGAGACGAAACAATAGCAGATTCGGACGACACTCGGGAGGCTTGTTGTCCTAGCAATTTTACTTGGTTCCTTGTGACAGGTCTCATGATTCCCATAGTAACATCAAGGATGTTTTCCACATCAATGCATAATTTGTATCCATCATTTTTTGCGGATGCAGATGTAGATGCGAATGCAGATGCAGATGCTGATACGAATGCTGATGCGGATACGGATGCAGATCCAGATTTGGATGCAGATGCGGATGTAGATACATATTTTGAGTTGATCTTCTTGAAAGTCATCTCGGTGTTTTTGACCTTTTATTTTCTGGAAGAGAAGATATGAGAGGTAAAGATTGTCCCACTGGGCGTGCCAATTTGTAAGTGTCTAAAGTTTCGTCCCTAAAATACAGCAAACGGGAAAGGTAAATAGCAAGCAAACTATTTGTATTTGAATTTATGCGAAGGTTTCAATCTTTATAAAATCTTCAAGAAAAGATATGTAATCCATTGATTCTTCTCTTCACGGATGTTCTTGATTTGATGGAATACTTGCGGCTCAACACTTGGAGCGAAGATTTCTTTGGATGCGGAAGACTTGCAAATCACCACTGAGGAGCAAGTCTTCATAAATCGTTGGAGGAGCACGAGTCTTAACTACAAAGATCGCCTTAGTGAAACTTCTGGGATCGAAATATGCATCCAAGGTATGTATTGGGATCTTCGTTACATATTGCAAGGCATAAAGCCTAAAATATTTGAAGAACTAGCAACACATGCTCATGATATGGAACTGAGTATGACTTCAAATGGAGATCAAGAGTTGTCCAACTTCGAAACTTACAAAGGAAATATAATTGACATTGCGGATGAGGACAAGTTTTCATCCGAAACCCAAATTAAAGGGTCTATGCAAGTTGACATGCTCTTTGATGTACGAGTCTAAACTACTAGCCATAATGCTCTTTGACGTATGAGCCTAAAATGTATGTCGTGAAATTCATCAAATTCAAACCAAATTTTCTAGTGCCAAAGCTCCTCAAATTCGAGCGAAGTCTTCATGGCATAAAGCTCATCAAATTCGAGCTAAATCTTCATGTCGTGAAGCTCGTTAAGTTCAAGTTAAGTCTTCAAGTCACGAGGCTTCTCAAAATTGAGCAAAAATCTTCAAGTTTCACAGCTTATCAAATTCACGCAAAATCTTCAAATCAAAATGCTCATTGCTGCACAAGTCAAAAATATATGTCGTGAAGCTCATCAAATTCGAGCAGAATCTTCAAGTCTCAAAACTCATCAAATTCAAACAAAATCTTCAAGTCAAAATACTTCTCGATGCACAAGTCTAAAATGCATGTCATGAAGGTCATCAAATTCGTGCTAGGTCTCAAGTTTTGAAGCCCTTCAAATTCGAGCTAAGAATTCAAATCATGATGCTTCTCAAATGCGAGTCAAGTCTTCAAGTCAGAAAAGCTCCATGAAAATGAGTTAAATCTTCAAGTTGTTACTTTTGGCCCTCATGAGTTTAAATATATATGGTCCAAAAAAATCCAATAGGTTGAAAACCTTGAAATAAGTGGCCTAGACAAATTAGAAAAAAAAAACTCACATGTTTTGCATTGAAGTGTAAAGTAAATACATTTTATTGCTTCAAAATTGCAAGAGTTTTTACACATCATAAGGAAGGGATGAAAAAAATGGACATATCATCCCATACAAAAGGTCTAAGTAGAAAAAAAATTAAACATCAAAAAGTGATTTGTCAACTCGTCTCGGATGTCTTTATCAAGTTCGCATCACCTCTTCATCAAACATCATCACTTCAAATATTTTTTTATGGGTTGATGAAGTCATAAGTGAGCCTCTATCTTTGGCATGGGGGCATATTTTGAAGTCTGATTTGTGAAGTTGATCATGTGACAAGTAGTTATTCTCCAGAACTAGGACACACTACACTAAAATCTCTTTCTCGGCAAAGTCAAAACTATAGAAGAAGAGACATAAACTGTGATTCGTCGCCAAACTTCAATTTAGAAGAAGATGCACTAAGTGTGGTTCGTTGCTAAAGTCACAACTGCAAAAGAAGAGGCATCAAGTGTGGTTCGTCGTCAAAGGCACAACTGCAAAAAAATAAATAATATATTTTATGTATGGTTCTTCATCAAAGCCACAACTCTAAAAGAAGATGATTCACGCTGCAATTGCAGAAGAAAATGTACTAAGTATGGTTCATCGCTAAAGCCGTAATTGCAAAAGAAGAGGCACCAAGTGCGATTCATTATCAAAGTTGAAACTACAAAAGAAGAGTCATCAAGTGTGGTTTGTCGTCGAAGCCGCAACTGCAAAAAAAAAGATATTTCATGTGTGGTTCGTCATCAAAACCACAAATCTAAAAGAAGATGATCCACGTATGATTCGTCATCAAAGTCACAATTGTAGAAGAAGATATACTAAGTGTGGTTCGTTGCTAAAGCTGCAATTGCAAAAGAAGAGGCATCAAGTGCGGTTCGTCATCAAAGTTGAAACTACAAAAGTAGATGCATCATGTGTGGCCGCAAATGCAAAATAAAACACAAGTGTAGTTCGTCGTCAAATTCACTATTACAAAAGAAGATGCATGAAGTGTGGTTCATCTCCACCAAAGCCACAATCACTAAAATATTACACCAAGTATGATTCATCGTCAAAATCGCAAATACAAACGAAGATGCACCAAGTTGTTCCTCGTCAATTATGTATTACCCCTCATTTTTATGGTATGAGGTTGTTTTCAGTCCATCGTAAACCTACAAAAAAAGTGATGTGTCTCACGGTGTCAATTGCACGAAGCTTTAAGTCGACATGGTGAAAATTATGTCATATCCTCTCGCACTCGTCATGATGAATATGGTCATATTGACTTAAGAGGTTTTTGTTCTTTCTCCATGTAGATGATGACAAAATTCTCAATCAAATCAATATGTGGATCTTTGGCGAAGATGCAGAGAAGTAAACTCATGAATGTTGCCCAAAGTCAATTTGATCGCTAACTTAAAGAAAATCAATTTTGGTTAATCCATTTGAACTTTGACTTTGATTTTTGGATATGTTGTAGACTTAAGAGTCTATTTTCTATAGAATCGAGTCGCTTGTTGGGTTTTATTTGTCCTGATTTCTTACCATAAATAGGTTTTTCTTTTAGAAAAATGTTTTAATATTTTACCTAGTCCTTTTCTTGTAGGAAAAGTTCTAGGACTCTATAAATATAGGCTTGTTCCTTCTAACTTAATCAACATTCACAATGTAGTCCTAGGGTTTTGAGAGTTGCGGTTATGGAGGAGTATTTTGTGTACCTCCTTGTATTCCGAGTAAATTGGTTGAAGTTGTTTCTCTCTATATTTTGTACTCTCATATTTATAGTGGATTGCTCATCTCTTTTGTGGACGTAGGTCGATTGACCGAACCACGTTAAATCTTTGTGTCTTTTGGTGTGTTTCTAGTTTGTCTTCTTACTCATGGTCTTTCGAGATTTGCTTTGCTAGCTTCTGCATTACACCTGCTTATTCCGGTCCTAATAAGTGGTATCAGAGTCATGATTCAATGATGGAGCCATGTTAGAGATGGGTGTTCATCTTGGCGGGTGTAGTTATAGCCGCAATCTTTTTGACAGTAATAAAGATTTTTGTTGGAGAAATTGTTTCAGGAGGTTCTCTGTTTCGAGACGTAGATTTGATGGAGGAGATTATGGAGAAGAGATGCAAGATCCTAAAGATTAT